CTGTGTTTTCCCTTTATTTTAAAGAAAAGGGTTAAAGATCAATTGTTACAGGCTAAGGGTTGATGTTAATGAACAGGGTTCGACATTAACATTAGTCCGTTAGTCTCATACTAATACATTTTCATTCAGACTAATAAAAATTGTAGCCAATTAGTCCCAACAGACTAATAAAGTTTTCTGGGGAAAAAAAAGAATTTACTGATGTTCAAATTTTTCGACAACTTTCACTGGAAAAATCAATTATGGCAATATTTATTTTTAGCTTTCTAGCTTCTTGGCGGGAAGCTAGGTAATTTAAGTGAATTCGGCGCTTAATATTAGGTCTCATTGATATGAAATTAAACATTTTAGTGATCATGATATAGTATGACACATAAATAAAGATGTCGGATGTTTAAATGATGTAATCATGTATGGAGAACAACGAATGAGACCGGGAATATGATTGTAGTTCCTGATTGTGCGATTTCAACAAATTCTTGGTATAAACATTTCATGTAAATGCTTTGTTTATTTCAAAAATGTATAAAAAGTACATTGCAACATCAATTCTATTTATTAATTTTTATTTTTGACGGACTAATAAAATTGCCCGCAGACTAGTAAAAGTAAAGAAGCACTAGTCAGGCCGGACCAAAGCCAAAAAACGTTAGTGTTGAACCCTGATGAACAGAATTATGATAAACTTAAAACAAATTTTGATTTCTAGGTGGCATTTTTATCAATCGAAGCTGTCAATTTGGCCGATAGCCCGATCTTAGGGAAAACACTGTTATATCCAGGATTTCATTATATCTGAATTCCTTATAATCAGGAATTACTGTCTCCTCTTACCTGGGCCTGGTGTGGGAAAAGCTGGAGGCATCCTCATTGGTGGCATACCTCTGGGTGAAGGGTAGTGGGGCGGGGGGATACTTCCTGTCCGGGGCTGGAAACCTGCAAAAAGCAAAGAAAGAAAATGTCTATTTTATCCTACAAAAACATGTTATAAGAAGCAAAGCAAGAGTACTTCAATTTTATTCTACATGATGATGCTGGGAAAAAAAAAGATATCCAAGGATTTTAAATATTAAGGGTAAAATACTTTTTAAAAATATGTTTTGAGGACTTCTCCTTCACTTTGACATATCCTTTGTATTTGAGAAATCGGATTTGTAGATACAGAAGTTCAGCTGTATTGTCCATTACCTGTAAATGACTTGTACAGACTTTGAGGAAGTTCAGCTGTATTGTCCATTACTTGTAACTGACTTGACAGACTCTGAGGTTCTCTTATCAATCCTGGGGCTCACACTTAAACCTTTAACTACCCAGGATTTATAAAGATCTGGTATCTAACCCATCCTGGGAAGGACTTATTATTCTCTCATTACTGGAGAAGCTCATAGAAAATACAGATTATTATATATGCTTTGACTTTTAAAGGTCTGATTCGATTTTCTCTCATGAAAGGATGAAAGTAAAAGGAGCTATAGTCCCTGAAACATTCTACTTTCCCACTTGAACGGTGAAGGAATGGTGAGTGAACAGTGAATTAATGGTAAACAAATGCAAAGCAAACTAGAACTGTCCAAACGGGACGAAATACCCCCCGCTGGGTTTTTCAGAAGTAAGTTTTTCCATAATAAAGAAATGTATCAAAATCAAAAATTATGAAATTTTTATTCCAGTGACCTTGAACTAACCCAAATAACCTTGGGTCAAGGTCATGACACACCCTTGGGTCATGGGCAATCTTTCAGTGAAATGAGAACCTACCAAGTTTATCCATAAGAAAGATATGGACCGTACACGAATTATGAAATTTTTCTTCCAGTTACCTTGAACTTCCCCAAATGACCTTGGGTCAAGGTCATGACACACCCTTGGGTCATGGGCAATCTTTGTGTGAAATAAAAACCTACCAAGTTTATCCATAAGAAAGATATGGACCAGACATGAATTATGAAATTTTTCTACCAGTGACCTTGAACTTCCCCAAATTACCCTGGGTCAAGGTCATGACACACCCTTGTGTCATGGGCAATCTTTGTGTGAAATGAGAACCTACCAAGTTTATGCATAAGAAAGATATGTACCAGACACGAATTGTGAAATTTTTCTACCAGAGACCTTGAACTTCCCCAAATGACCTTGGGTCAGGGTCATGACACACCCTTGGGTCATGGGCAATCTTTGTGTGAAATGAAAACCTACCAAGTTTATCTATAAGAAAGATATGGACCGGACACAAATTATGAAATTTTTCTTCCAGTGACCTTGAACTTCCCAAAATGACCTTGGGTCAAGGTCATGACACACCCTTGTGTCATGGGCAATCTTTGTGTGAAATGAGAACCTACCAAGTTTATTCATAAGAAAGATATGGACCGGACAGGGAATATAAAAATTTTTCTTCCAGTGACCTTGAACTTTCCCAATGACCTTGGGTCAAGGTCATCACACATCTTTGTGTCATGGGCAATCTTTGTGTGAAATGAGAACCTAGCAAGTATATCTA